AAATAAAATTCTGGCCTTTGGCGTAAAATCAATCCTAATTAGCTTCGGCTGTTAAACGGCTCTCGCTGCGTCTCGTGTCAGACGAAGTCAGAGACAAAGCCGGCCGGCTCCATTCCCTCCTCACAGACGCTGCTTCCCCCTGCAGCCGCAAATCATCCTGCGCCGAGAAGGATTCCTTCCAAGGTCTCGCTGCGTCGCTTAAAAGCTGCAGCGTTGAGAAAGTAACGCTTCGGCTCGGCGTGGCTCCGGTGTCTCAGCCAGGCCTCGTTGTTTGCTGCTTTTTTTAGCTTTGTTCTTTATTTTATTTATGTGGGACATTAAGTGACTTTATTGCTTTGACTACATTGAATTTGCATTAAGTGTGAGCAGCAGCCCTGAGGCGGGTTGTGTTCTCAGGGAGCAGCAGCAGCAGCTCGAATAAAAGGCGACAAATTATGAACTTTATGCAGATTTTTATTTCCGGTTGATGAAAATTTGTAGATTTTCTCCAGAAAAGCCGAGAGCCCAATTATTTCTGAAGAGTTATAGACAGAACAAGAACAATATTTAAAGACACGTTCAAGCTGCTGTCAGCGGCTCCGATCAGGACAGGCTGACAGAAACAGGCAGAGCAGAAAATAAGCCTCAAACAGCAGTCAACAATCCTGAGCCGTAAATGACAGACCAGATGTTTTTTTGGTGTTTTATGTCAGAGATAGACGTTGAAAGGAGCTGCCGGTCTTTTACAGTTTGGGTTTGACCTCTGAACTCTGCGGGATCAACCTACAGCTGTGAACAAACTCTGGATGAATGACGACAAAAATAAAAAAACATTCAATATACAAACAGTAGAAGGAGCGTCGAGTTTAGTTAGATGTGACTAATTAAAATCATAAAACTTTAATATTAAAAGTACAAAAACAGTTAAAGATCCAAAAACAATTTCAGTCGTTTGAAACTTTCTGTCGATCCAAACGGACCGGATTTTATCTTTCGATTTGTCAAAATCTGTTGTCTGCAGGAAAGTCGTCAAAAAGGCTAAAGTCACAATGAACCCAACAAACCGGACTTTTGGATCTTTTTTTTACAAATTTGTTTAAAAGTTGAAAGGAGCAGAAAAAAAAAAAATACAGAATAGTTTATTTAAAAAATTGATTTTCTGTTAAAATACAAAATGAAAAGTTGAAACTAAATTATTTAATTTAAAGTCTAAATTATAGCAAAACATTTACTAAATTGTAGCTAAAACCAAAGCTAGCAAAACAGTAGCTTAAAGCTTAATATAGCAGAACTTCAGGTAAAAGCTAAAATTTTCAAACCTGCAGGTAAAAAGTCAAATAAACACATCGGCCGCTACAAGCTAAAATAAGCTAATCTGAAGCTAAACGATAAAATTATGCTAAAAGCATCAAAACCCTAATATTAGCAAAATGTCAGGAAAAAAGCTAAAGTTAGCAGGAGTAGCTAGAAGCTAAAAGGAGCACAAGAATACAGAAACGGGCAGTAACAGATTAAAAAATTAAACATTTTTAAGGATTTGAAGAGAGCTAGACGTGTTTCCATGTTTTATAAAGTAAAATATTTTAAAAAGTGTAAAACTTACAAAAAACAAAAGTCAGGACTAAAGAGAAGAACATATTTAAAGTCCAGTTTAAGAGTCTGGCTCTGATTTTAAAGCTCTACGGGATCGTGTGGTTCAGGGACCGTCTGGACCAGGAGATCCTGATCCGTCCTGACAGTCCTTTAGCGTCTCAACCTGCTGTTTTTATCCACCTCGGTGCCCATTGATGCCCTCAGGACACCCAGTCCCACCGACCCAGACCGTCTCTGGGTCCTAAAACCAGCATTCAGGGTCCTCAGGTACCACTGAGCTGACCCGGTTGTTATCTGGAAAAGAACAAAAGTCCAAACGGACTGAGGTCTGGAACAGGACACAGACGGAGTCTCCCCTGGATCCAGATCAGGTGTTCACTTTCAGTGGAATAAATATAATATTTAAATATATTTCTTGTAAAAACACATTTTCTACAGTAATTTATTTGAGGTGTTTCTTACATTTACCGTAACTCCTTTCAGGTGCTGCTGTTCCACAGTTCACGGTAACTCGTGCAGATTTTTTAGTTTAGGTGGTGCAGGTTTTCAGTTTTTACGGTACTTCTGGCTCTCCTGCAGAGAGAAGCTGGTTCTGAGTGAAAATTAACTAACACGGCTGAGACCAAAAACAAATTTAAATATTTAAAACCTGGATCTTTTCTTGAGAAAACTTTCTTTAAGTGAACTTTACTAAGTTTTAGCTGAACTACAGTTTAAACGCTGAAGGCGAATCCAGGAAGGTCCGTTTGTTTCGTAGATTTATAAAAAATATTTCTGGCATGTTGCTCCACAAACTTTGCATTCTCAGTAAAAGATCCAGCCGTCACCAGAAAAAGGGATTTGAGACGACCCGCCACCAGATCAAGGTCAGAACTGTCGGTGAAAAATGTTCTGGTTCTGGCCGAGCGACGGGCCGGTTCGTCCGCTGACAGAGAGCCTGACCTGAAGACGAAATCATCTCTCAGAACCGGTGCTGAATGTTTCATGCTGCAGCTGGCTAACGTCGTTATTATTCCAGGAGTCTCTCGGCACACGGAGGCCAGATGTTCGGGTTTAAATCCCGTCAGAACCAGAACCTGAATCCACTTCCTTAACTGCGTTTAAACTGACATTTATTAGAGTTTCATCCAAGGAAGACTGATGAACACAGCAGCAACGATTTACAGCAAAACCTGTCAAACTCTGACTTCATTGACTGCCCCACCATGAAACATGGGCGATCATGTAACCACTTAACCATGAAATATGGACGATCATGTAACCACTTAATCATGAAATATGGGCAATAATGTAACCACTTACCATGAAATATGGGCGATGATGTAACCACTTATCATGAAATATGGGTGATGATGTAACCACTTATAATGAAACATGGGCGATCATGTAACCACTTAACCATGAAATATGGGCGATCATGTAACCACTTAACCATGAAATATGGGCGATGATGTAACCACTTATCGTGAAATATGGACGATCATGTAACCACTTA